TTAATTAACTAAAGGCAGCCCTAAATTATAATCATGGGCTGGGATCTGTTAAACAAGAAAATCTCTTTCCAGAAAAGAAAAAGCATTGCATCTCGGACCCCTCATCAGACTGTTTGGAACTCAAGCCTCAAGCACTCATGGCGTGTGATTTTCCCCATAGCAGAGAGGCTTAAGCCTCAAGGAAATTTTTTAATTTTTCACAAATAAGGAGTGAAAATATCAATGGTCAAAATTAATTTTTTAATAAAGGAATATTACGTAGCAAAATGAAATACAATTCTAGCAACACATTGAGCTATAAAATATCACAATTAGGCCAAGTTTCTATGATGAAATCTCATTAAGAATTCATTGAAAGTTTCATAAAAAATGAAAACTTGAAGTTTCTAAAGTGCTAATTACTTATGGAGATGGGTTTCTGGTTTCCTGAGTCTTTTTAATAATAGAAACAGCCCCACCCTGGAATTTTATGTTTTTACTTGCTTACTTGTGTGCACGCTCAGAGTTTCCAAAACATCAAAACGCGTGTTGTGGGAAGTTTGTGTACTTCTAAGACTAATCATTCTAGGTAAAAGAAAAAGGAATTAGCAAATTTAATGTTGTTTTATACTTGCTGCAAGCCTGCAACATTGGCGATGGCTGCAAATAAGAGAAGAAAAGAAGCCTAGGGAAGAAAAGGAAGACTGCTAGAGAAGGGAAAAAGGAAACAAAGGAATAAAGAAAAAATAAATGAAAATAACATAGGAATAGAAAATATTATGGAGGCCAATAACAACAGACCACATGGTACTATGGTAGCATGACCTATACTGGCTTATCCAAATCACCTTTTAACCTTTCAAAATCCCACATACTAATATACTATTGAGATTTACGATTATATATTATAATGGCATTTATACGTATTTGGGATTAATATGAAAGAGCCCTTCCTATAAATTTATCCTTGAAAAGATTACAAAGAGTCTAATTGTGTCACCATTGTTTGATTCAAGCAGAAGAAGAGAGACAATCATAAGCAATTTATAACTTCGTAACATAAACAAAAGAATGAGACATTTTTACTACTCATGGGATTCAAGTAAATGAGCTATAGTTAACATGTAGCTACTAGCTACTCAAAAGATAGTAGAATGCACCTTCAAGACTCAAACTTTACTCCCATCCTCGGGTTAAAAAACCAAATATCAATTACTTCGCGCATGACGATAAAAAATTCCCCAAAACCCTAGCTGTCTCCCCAATCCGAGAAAAGTATAATATCGAACGAACAGACAGGTGGTGTTGAAAAAGGAGCGATTATGTGACACTTGAATATAAAAATGCGAAAGAACTCATATACCATATTCAGATCGAGGGCGTTTAGCGAGGAGGGGCGGGAGAGCTTGCGGCGGCGGCCTAACATCATTGTATCGCCAGTAAGCGTCTGCCATTTCAAAGCGGAAATTGAACCCTAATCGAGGAATAGGCGGCCGATTCCGATTATAACCAGCACCAGATGCCGGAAGAAAGACTGGGAAAGAGCAGATTGCAGAGTGAGGAGATAGAATTTGTGTTTATGTAGACCTTTAGTATCAACGTATAAGTTTTGATTAAAGCTATGTTTTGTGTTTGCCCGTGTTTACGAAGGATCTTTTCTTTTTTAAATCAAATCTACAGGTCTGGTTTGATCTGAATTAGTCTGATCTGATAAAATTTTTAGTCTCTGTGTATTGTATACGAGTAAAATCAGTTCAAATGAAAAACATTCCAAATGTGATTTATTTAATAGGTTTTAGAAAAAGTGGTTTATAATAAAAGTAAACAGTGTTTTAAAATATAAGTGATTTTAATTAAAAGACAAAAACTGAAATGATTGATAAAAAATGATTGTAATGTACGTGGTATTATGTTTGGATATGTACAAACACATGAACCATTTTGATAAAAAATAAAACACATGACCCGTGACCATTTACAAGTACATTTTACGTGTCTTTCCCTATCTTTTTTTTACAAAAAAAGACAAAAAGTGTTTTCTAAAAGCAATTGCAAGCATAGCCTGATCGAAACTTAATATCACCAAGTCTTTTTGTACTAAAATTTTAAACGATTAAATAAAGATTATTTCAAAGTACCGAAGTAGACAAAATTACAAAAAACAAATCAACATATAGAAATAATAAAGCAACAAGCTTATCAGCTAAAACTTGCAAGTGAACAAGTGTCAATGTAAAAATACCGAGTCGAACACAAGGAAACGTTGTTTATATGATTCAAAGTCGAGAAGAGTTTTTGTACTACCTCCGTCCCTTAAAACTTTGCCAAAGTTGACCGGCACAGAGAATAACAAAGTAAAAAGTGTGTAGTTGAGGTTTGTGGAGAGGAGAGAGAAATAACAGAAACCACAAAATAATTGATTAAAAGGGAAAGTGGTAAAGTTTTTTGGTAAATTTAAGGGACGTAGGGAGTATTAAATTTAGTAAGAGAGTAGAGATTTTTTATTTTCAAGAGATAATAAAGGCAACCAAAGTTTCGGGGTTACTCCTAAACGACTCCTAGCGATGAATATACGTTCTTTCACCAATTCTTATGGGTGGAATGTCACTAAAGTTATCTAACTCATGTTAGAGTAACGAGATTGTGATTAACTCTACGTGTGAATCCCGTCACAGTTCACATTATCTAAAATTAACTTCATTGAAGATTAGGACATTATAAAAACCACCATATTCAATTGAGGTATATTTCTATCCACAATTAGAATATGTCTAACCTTTAAGTGCACGGGTTATAACTCAACGTTAATTGCTCAAATAAACCCTACGATATTGTTGGGGAATATTATCCCGGCCTACTACTGTTCAGAGGCCCAAGTCATCACCCGGTATGAAGCCCGGTCAGCAAGGCCCATTTAGACCTACCCGGCCCGTTTCGGCCTAACCGGCCCGAATATGGATTGTTTAGGCCCAATAAGGCCTTTTCGGCCCATTAGTGTGGGAGGGCTTTTCCCTCCTTCCTATAAATAGGAGGAGGACTTTTCCTTAAAGAGGATCTTTTTTCCCAGTTCGTATACCGTGGGATCATCCCACGGTGAGCATGGTGCTCCACTCCCAAAACGACGCAGCTTTACCCAAATTTTTTTAAAAAAATTCGCGTGAACAGTACACGCGTGAACAGTACACGCGTCCTATTTTTTTCCTTTTGTCCCAGTAGCATGAATGATGTAACTCGCGTGTAAAGATATGTAACTCACGTTATTGATCAATGTAACTCCCGTCCGTTCGAAATGTAACTTGTCAAAATACATAGTATAAAAAATAAAATATTGATTTCAATGTAAATAATGAAAAGAAGAAGTCTAATTGCCCAATTATTTTACATAAATATTGTATATGTTTTGTTTTTAATATTAGATCTATAAAAATGTATTTTATGAAAATAATTTTTTTTATAACAGAGCTTATTGTGTTGTGTAACTCGCAATGTATTGTGATGTAACTCGCATTATGAAAAATGTAAATTACATGTAAGCGAGATGTAACTTGATGAAGAAAGTTGACATGTAACTTACGCTAATACATATGTAACTTTAGGCAAATACCAGTGTAACTTGAGTGTGAGTAAGATGTAAGAAGGTGAGTCTTCATCATTAGAATCTAAACTTTCATATTAAAAACATTATTACTATTATACATATAGATTAAAACAAAAAATTAGCTTGAAGTCATTATATTGGCCCACGCATACGGACTCCAGATCCAAAATACACACGTGCACTTCAGAAATAAGGGATAGCCCCATATCGCCGATGTTTACTTCAATCCGCAGAAGGATGACGTTGAGATGCTCATAGCGCCTGCACTAGCAATAGACCTAATCTTTACATCGGTGCAACCAATTTCAGGGAAGGCCGTGGGGCGACGGCGAAACCTCTAATCCCACATGCGGCGGAGTTCCATGGTGAGATGAAACAATGAAGGAGATGAAGGGGATCCGGCGATTTGCTCTTTTTTTAATAGGAAGCATAAAACTGTACCGTTTTGGGATCAGCACACCATGCTCATGGTGGGCCGATCCCACGGTATAATTTGCGCTTTTTTCCTCTGGCTCCCGGGACAATGTTTCCTCCCCCACCCCTTTAGTGTAGTTTGTTGAAGACTACATTGATGGAGGTTTTACAATTGTACGATGTAAATATGGTGAGGAGAACATATTAATGAAAAAGAGCTGGCTTGGACGTTAGCCTAAAAAGTCTTGTGGTTTTCTTCCTTTCCGGGTTTCCACGTAAAAATAGCTAGTTTATACACTTTTATATTTATTATTCACTTTTATACGGAATTCATGCTCCTTAATATCCGAAGTTATGTTGGGCTTTCGGATCTACGGGACTAAAACTCAACAGATATAATCATACGTTGTACACCGTAGTCATACACATTAAAATATAAAGGAAATATCATAATAATTTGGTTGTGAACATACATCAAACACCTGGAGTGCGTAAAGATTCATCCTTAATCTTGGCTAAGGAAAATCAGCTAGAACAGTTCATAATAAAATTGTAAGTATTGAAATGATAAAATACAATGAAATAGAGAAATCGAAGTTGTTTGTGAACAGTAAATAAAATTTTCGTTAGTATTTATGTGTTTGCTGCCATGGTGAGTTGTGGATTCGAAGATAGGGTTGCACACTATTTATAGGGAAATCGAAGTTGTTTGTGACTTGCAATCTTGACCAAATACCAAGTGTGTAATAAGATTAAACCTTCAACCACCTTCATTAATGTTCAATCACCTCAATAAATGTTCAACTACCCACATTGAATTCGTTTGACCACAAAGGCTATTATGAATAAGATTGAAATTTAGCATTTATTGAGGTGGTTGAGTATTAATGAAGGTGGTTGAGGATTTAATCTAATTACACACCGGGTATTTGGTCCAGATTGCAAGTGACAAACAACTTCGATTTCTCTATAAATAGTGTGCAATCCTCTCTTCGAATCCATAGCTCACCATGGCAGCAAACACAGAAAATACTAATGAAAATACCAGAGGGAATTTGTACTTTGTGTTAAAGGAGGTTGGCCACACCAAATCAACACGGGCCTTGAAAGTACGGGTTGTAAGGGTTTTTGAGATGCCTCCACAATCAAAAGGTGATCAACGAATGACAGTTGTTTTTCATGATGAGGAGGTAGTTTATCTTTTCGATTCTCCACTCACTTTAAGTTTAAGCCGGTTTTATTACATGTTATGTTTAACAAGCATTAATTTTTTGGCAATGTAGGGCGACAAAATACATGCAGTGATTAAGAGGCCGTTCATGCCCCTTTACAAATCTAGACTGGTGGAGAACATATGCTACAGGATCAAGAATTTCTTAGTACTGGACAACTACTACACTTATAAAACCGGCCACTCCCCACCCTTATATTTTGGAATCCTATATACCTAAATGGAGAATCCTCTCCCAATAATGTTTTCCCTCCCATTTTTACATTAAATACATTTATAAGTTACAAAATCAATTTATGTATCATAAATACATCCATAAATTACTTTAAAAAAAAATACATCCACAATTTCATACTCAAGTACCAATCATGAGACTCTCTATCGTCATTTTTATATATTATTTTTCTTTTTCACTATTGTAATTTGTGTAGCGTTCTTCATTAATCTATCCTTTCAAGCAAATCAAAGGTGCACTTTAAGTTATATAATAAGAACTCAGGGTCACGATTGTCTGAAAATATAATTAAATTGTAAATGATATCAAGCAAACGTTCACATAATTTTTTATTTTAATTTATTAGTTTCGTATAATATAATGCCATTTTAAACTTTGCATTTCTTTGAAAAATTAAAACTAAACAACTTATTTTGGAATTGTGACTCATAGATGATATGAGTAGGTCTGATCAAGTCATTATCTTGATATATTTACTTTTCTAAATGTTAATTTATTTCTTCTCTTGATTGTTATGTTTTTTTGTATCAAAATCGTTAGGCCACGAATTAATGTTTGTTAGTTTTGACAAAAAGATTTTTCTGATTTTTATTTATGTGATTTATTGGTCATTAATATTTCATGTTTAGGAATTTTTCCAAAATAGGAGTAAAGAAATTGTAATGTAAGAGTACAATATTTCCCCCTAATTAAATAGGAGCAAGTTACCATCGCTTTGAAATCATATTGTCATCTTTTGGCACGATCAATCACAAATATTACAATATTACTATCATGACTATTAGTTTTTTAAGCATATAACTGTTGAAATAAAGTTTAATTAGTCATCTTCTAACTATTAATGCTTAGGAACACATTATCATCATTGTTAATATAAATAAGAAATCATAATTATGATTTCTAGATGGTAATTGTATGGCTCACAATTAGCCCCTAATCTAGACAAGATTATATTTCCCCCTATAAATAGGAGTATTCTCCTTCATTGTAAAGAGACCATTAGAACATCTCTAATACACCTCTGTCATTAAGTGTTCATACTATATTTTCTCTCCCTGATCTTCTGCTTATTTCCTTCCATTTTATAACACGTTATCAGCACGAATTTGCTCCAAATCCCTGAAATCATCATCTTCCCAGCAGGTATATATTTTTCAGGAATTTATCAATTTTTCTGGAAAAAAAAATCAGAGGTTGAGAAGTATAAACACGCATAGATATATTCAAAACTGTAAGAAGTATGCTCTATGGTTGCCCAACCATTGTGATCCTACATATCAGAAGATTATAGCTATATTTTCTCTAAAAATTGAAGAAGATAGAAGAAAGACATACCTTTATATATAGAAACAGAATCTGTTCTTGAAAGTTGAGTTGAATTACTCTATATTATAGATAATATTACGTACGAAGTATATCTTACTTGCATATATGTGAATACCCAAAGCCTGACAAAAGGTAGAGAGTCGAATAGAGCTTGAACTCTTAAAATAAAACTCTCTACATGATATATGTATATACATAAGAAAGATATGTCACCAGGATTGAAGACAAATGGTCTAGATATTAAAGACCTATGGAATACATATGAATAAAAATAAACTCTATTGTAGATAAACTATCTCACTGGTGCTTCTTGATTTTTCATATCCTTATATCATGAAAAGTGTAAAACTCGTAAAGCTTTTACGGAGGAAAAGTAATACTCACGGGAATCTAACGTATGGCCCATATTCTCAAACATATCGGTATGAATTATCTTGATTCATTCAAATTCATAAACCAACAAAATTGAATGACATCTGATAATAAATGCGGCAAGAGTACTAGCCGATCTCCTGCACATCAATTTGGCATTATTCAATGATGCATGCATCTAATTTTGAAAACTTCAGTATATTATATTAATATATAAAAGCTCCTACGTACCAAGTGGGTAAGTGAACAATTGAGATATGTACAGATGCATTTAATACATAAGAAGTCACGGACCACCTAAAATTTGTTTATGCACATACGAGTATATATCACCATATTCACGGTTCACACATATCAAGATATGTACAGACGCTTAAAAATAAAAATAAAAATAAAAATAAAATAATAAGTGGATATCATACAGATTTTTCAGATGATAGTAAATTACGGACCATACAAATAGATAAAAGCATTTGTTTTTCATGTCTACCTTTGTGAAAAGACAATTTTCACCTATTTCAGTACTAATATACGTACATGCCTATATTAGTAGTTATTAATGAAATAGATTCAATACTGAGTATATATTACTACATCTACTCATATGAACTACGTAATAAAAGTGATGCATATAATTATTGTTATTGTACAATAACATAAACATAAACATAAATAGTGTTATTAATAGTGTTTATTAATAAACATATTATGTATATCTAATCGTATTATTTATACAAACCATTAACTGATTAATTTTAAATTAATTATGGTGTAGTTCATCCATGGCTAATATTAGCAAAAGAGAGTTCGAAGTTCTTGATTTATCTGGTCAAAAGTACTTGGAATGGAAAGTTGATGTTTTGACACATTTAAAAGCAAATGCCCTCGAAAACACAATTGTCGAAAATAATTCAGCCACTCCCCAAAATAAGGCAAAAGCCATTATCTTTCTTCGTCACCATCTTCACGAAAGTTTGAAGTCTAAGTATTATTGGTAGATGACCCTAAAGAATCATGGGATAATCTCCAAGAAAGGTATGGCCATCAACAAAAGGTCCTTTTACCAAAAGCTCAGTATGACTAGATCAATTTACGATTCCAGGATTACAAATCTGTAAGTGACTACAATTCTGTTTTGTTCCAAATAACATCAAAACTGAAGTTATGCGGACAAAAAGTCATTGATGCTGAAATGTTGGAAAAAACTTTGTCCATTATGCATCTTTCAAATATGCTTTTACAAGAGCAATATAGACAAAAGCACTTTCAAAAGTATTCTGATTTAATATCAGTATTACTACTTGCTGAGACGAATAATGACATTTTGATGAGAAACCACAATATGAGACCCACGGGTTGTAGCCCTTTTAGTTTTGGTCCACAAAATCATGGTTCAAAACATGAATCAAATGCAACCCATAGTGGTGCTCGTGGACATTTCAAACGTGGTCGTGGTATTGGTCGTTATAATGGACCTAGCCGGGGAAACAAACAGAGTAGTAGCTCTTACAAAAGCAAGGGAAAGCAAAACCCCCCATCAAACAAGAGGCCCGACGAAATCTTCAGAAAAGGCCAAAGTCACTTGTTTTAAATGTGGCACATCGGGACATTGGGCAAATAAGTGTCTCACACCTACACATTTGGTTGACTTATATAAACCATCTCTAAAAGGAAAGAATGTGGAAACTAATTACGTCAACGAAAACGTTCCACCAATGCCCACATTTAATATGTCTGATTTCTATATGGATAATAATGAGATGAACACTGACATCGTCATGGGTGAAAAATAATAATAATAAAAATGAAATTATTCTGTTATGTAATATATTCTACAATAAAAGTTTGTTGTATTGTAATTTTTATTTGGTGTGCTTGTTTCGGTTGTAAAAGTTATGAACATTTTAATGAATAAATTTTTGTTTAAATTGCAATATTGAACTAATATTTGTTCATTTTTATCTTTTTAAAGATATGGAGTTAACTGAAATTTCTCCAAATGGCTTTGAACAATGTTTAATAGACAGTGCCACAACGCACACCATTTTGAGACATAGAGATTATTTTTCTCATATGACATTAGTTGATGCTAATGTCAATACAATCTCAGGTGTTGCTACAATCATTGAAGGTTCTGGAATAGCCTGTGTAATTCTCCCAAAAGGGACAAAATTAATAATTAAAGACGCTTTATACTCTAGTAAATCACGGAGAAATCTTTTGAGTTTCAAAGATATGTGTCTAAATGGTTTTCACATTGAAACCATGTCTGAAAATCAAAAGGAATATTTATGTCTAACAACAAATAGATCTGGCAATAAATACATTTCAGAAAAAATGCTAGTATATTCCTCCGGACTATATTATACATATATCAGTCCAATTGAGATAAATGTGGTATCTAAAATTAATGACCACAATTCCCTTATCTTGTGGCATGACCGTTTAGGTCATCCAGGCAACACTATGATGCACAAAATTATTCAAAATTCTCTTGGACATTCATTAAGTAATGTCAAAATTCCACAATCAAGTGATTTCTCATGCACTGCATATTCTCTTGGCAAATTAATTATCAGGCCATCTTTATACAAAATTGGAGTTCAATCTCCTGCATTTTTAGAAAGAATTCAAGAAGATATTTGTGGGCCAATTGCCCCTCTGTGTGGACCCTTTTGATACTTTATGGTGCTCATTGATGCATCAACACGTTGGTCACACGTCAGTCTTTTAGCGACTAGAAATTTTGCATTTGCAAATCTCCTTGCTCAAATTATTCGTTTGAGATCACAATTTCCGGATTATTCAATAAAGAAAATCTGACTTGATAATGCAGGGGAATTTACATCCCAATCTTTTAATGACTATTGCATGTCAATTGGGATTGATGCGGAACATCCAGATCCACATGTGCATACACAAAATGGTCTTGCTGAATCCTTAATTAAGCGATTACAATTAATTGCTAGATCATTATTGATGAAATCCAGATTACCATCATCTGCATGGGGATATGCTATAATGCATGTTGCAAATTTAATTCGGCTGAGGCCAACTGCATATCATAAATTTTCCCCATTGCAATTAATATCTGGTAAAGAACCAAATATATCACACATAAAAATATTTGGTTGTTCTGTGTATGTACCAATTGCTCCACCTTATCGTACTAAAATGGGTCCTCAAAGAAGGCTGGGAATTTATGTTGGTTTTAAATCTCCATCAATTATTAATTATCTAGACCCTATGACTGGTGACTTATTCACCGCACGGTTCGATGACTGTCATTTTGATGAAACAATATTCCTAGCCTTAGGGGGAGATAATAAAGAAATGGACCCACGTACGAAAGATATTACTAGGAATGCAACAAATTTATTTTTTCTTGATTCTCGCACAAATGCTTGTGAA